TTAGGGATTTGCCGGTGAGTTTTCTTGACTCGCAAGCCTGAATTTGGTTGGGACGATGTTACATTGCTCTGATCATGTTCGTCATATCACGGACCTTTTCACCGGAATCGAAGGAGATTGCCTCGGAAACAGTGTCAGCATGAATGTTCCAGTAAAGTCAAGAGGAATCCGTCATCGTCTTCTGGTGAAACCGAACTTCGAATCTCTTCACCCAACACTTCCACTCGAAATGGAAGTAATCCCAACAAATACCACTTTGCTTCATCGACACTACCAACATTTGGTCCGTGACCCAACGGCATTTGTGGCAATGTCGCGCACTGGTTGACGTGTCGAGCTGTCATGGTTCGACTCCCGCTGGGGGTGTGGGAAAGATCTGTGCGAGGTCGAGACTGCAGTCCACTATCGCCTGGATGGGTATACCATTTGAGAAGACAAAGTTATGTGAAATGCAATGGAAGACATCAGCTTTAAGCGTGTTTTTGTGGGAAAAATCGACTACCAGTCGTTCGTGAGCACAATTCATATGTCTGGAAAACCTACCCATTTAGCATGAAAGAATGTTGTGTGTATTCGTCGAGTCGAATGCCGCTTAAGGAGTTAATTTATTTTGGGTCATTTTTCCCATTTTTCGCTTCGACTCGTCATTCACTGTTACCATGACCACTCGACTGGTCGTCACGACAATCCTGTTGGCTTGGTGACAGAAAAAAACCCTCTGCTCGACTCACCTTGCCCTCGACTCCGGCGCAAATGTGTACGCCCTGTTTGAGATTGTCAAAACGCTCTGAGCATTTCTGCAACGACTGCAACGGCAGATTGACTTCACGCAACTCCTTCGACGGTACCATCGTCTTTCGGTCGGCCGGAACCATCAACATCGGCCATCTTTTCGGCTCACGCAACTGCCTGCCGAACGTCTTCACCGTCGCAGGTCTCCGGTAGCCGTGATGCTGCTGCTGCGATGCCTCATCGTGATGCCCGTTGCCATGACGACGATACCCGTAGGAACTCGGCCTACGGCTAAGTGACGAGAAGTGCAGTAGATCGGTCAATTTGAG